CGAAATAATCTTACATATCACAGCTAAAATTGTCCGTGTAATTGTTTTTATAATTTATAATAATTAATAAATTAAGATGATTAAAAAAAATAAAAATAAAAAAATTAATAATTTTAAAATATGTGATAAAATTTAATTGTAAACCAAATAACAAAAACATAAAAATACAATAAAATAAATAATATTTTTCTCAATTAATAGTTTTGTTTTAACATTCGTATTCTGATGTGTGATCTATTTTTGTTTATTACAATTAACTATTTTTTTCTACCGATTTATAAAAAATAAATCACAAATTTGCGAATGAAATAGTCAGTCACGTCATTAAATATTTTTTTCTACCGTTTTTAATGAAATAAATCATTAATCGATTTAAAAGAAATGGCTACTTTTTTCATTTTACCAGTTGACAAAGAAACAGCCTATAGACCTTTCACAAGGCGCAAAACAGAAGATATTTATTACACAAATACCGTTATTTAAAAAGACATTACAAAAAGACAAAAAACAAAATAAACTTGTTAATCTTCGTTTTACAAAAGTCAACTAGGAAGACTTAAAACGCAACGTTTAGTTTCATCACCCCTTCCCCTTCCCTACCTCTTCATCCATCTCTCCGACGTCGTTGAAAGCTTGACCAGTCATCTGATCCGACGTTTTCAGCGACGTAGCCACCTGTCCAGGCCTAGTATCTTTCACGTCCACCGTCACAGTCGTCTTCCCGGAGCCTTCGTCTCCACGCGCCACCGCACGTGTCTCTTCATCAGACGGCGTCGTAGTACCAGTGAACCTGCTCTTTATCGCTCCAGTCATGTTCCCCAACGCACCAATTATCCCCTTCCCTTCTTCACCTCTACGAAAACAATCATTTTACTACTTCCTTAAGAAAAATGAGTTAACACTCAACATTCTTTTTCTACATATATAGTTCCATTGTTTTTTCTTTTTCTTATTTCTATTCACTTCCAATATTATTTTCTATACCTCTCGGTGGTGGAATCTTTAACCTCGCGAGCTTTATCGGTGGCGGATTCGGTCTTGTCGTGACCCATTTGGCCAGCGTCGTCTTTAAGCTCTTTGCCCTCAAGTCTCATTTCTTCCATTTTTCGTCTTGCTTCTTCTCCAGCCTCGTCCATTTTTTCCTATTAATTATAGCAACAAGTGATGAACAAGTATATAATTAAATAAACATCGACTACATAATCTTGCATAGAAAGAACTAAGCTAATACCTTGGCCGTGTCTTTGGTCTCTACGGCTTTCTGTTTGGTTTCTTCTGTCTTGCCAGACAAGAAACCCATTGCTCTCTTCGCCGTGTCCACTGCACTATCCTTCAGTTCACCGATCTTACTCACACTTGCGTCTTTCCCTTCAGTCGCCTTCTCCGCTGTGTAATCTTTATATTCGCCCATTTTCTCCGCCGTCTTATCTTTGGCTTCTCTCGCCTTATCCGCCGTGTAATCAGCAGTTTCCTTTGCTTTCTCCGTTGTTGTATCCTTTGCTTCTTTCGCCTTATCCGCCGTGTAGTCTTTATATTCACCTAACTTCTCCGCGGTCTTATCTTTGGCCTCCGTCGCCTTATCCACCGTGTAGTCTTTGTACTCACCCATCTTATCTTTGGCCTCCCCCGCTTTCTCCGCCGTGTAGTCTTTATAATCGCCCATTTTCCCGGCCGTCTTGTCTTTAGCTTCTCTCGCTTTATCCGCCGTGTAATCTGCGGTTTCCTTGGTCTTGTCTTTAGCTTCTCTAGCCTTGTCCGCCGAGTAATCCGCGGTTTCCTTGGTCTTATCGGCAGTACGGTCTTTCATCTCCGCGGCCTTCTCCGAAGCAACCTCGGCTTCGTTTCTTGTTGACTCGGCCGCGTCGTGGCTTTTACCGATCACCGCATCTTTCGTCCCTTGCACCGCCTTCATTACCGAGCCTAATAGCCCAGGCCTCTCGGTCTCTTCCTCCGCTAGAGGATGCTCCGTCGTTGTTGTCTTCTCCGTCACCTTATACGTCACACCGCCTTCTTTGTTAACATCTCTCAAATCGTCAGCCGCGAGCCTCGCCAAGTCTTCGGCTCTCTCGGACTTCGCTGCTCTCTCCGCCTCCCGTTGTCCTGACGCCATAATTTTTTGTTTTGCTTGGATTCCAAGAAAATTTTCTGATGAAATTCTTTTAAAATTTTATTCAAATGATATTCGCCGAGTTAATTAGTATTTTGAGCTGCTTTGTTGTCTTTATAGCAAGTGTTTTGGTACTAATGAGATGCCACGTGATGACTTCGATGAAGTAAAAGCTGCCACGTCTGGTCTGAATGTTTTCTTTATTTTCCTAATTTTTGTATGTAACCCTTTTGCGCGACACGTATCTGAGAAGATGGTTCTAGTGAGGAACCATGCCACGTTGAGCTTTTCATGCATCGTGTGCTTCGACATATCAATGGTAGTTGTTAAAAGCATGTAGAACATGTACATTGATTAGAGTTTTTAATAGAGTTCTCAACCATTTAATAATATTAAATCAACAATAAAATTAATTTAGAATTTACTAATTATTTTTAAAAATTTTTGTCCTCTATTAATTACAACCTCAAAAATAAAAAAATATTATTTTTATAAATTTGAAAGCACACGACATTTTATAAAATCATCATTATATTACATTTCATGAAATTTTAAAAATATATTACATAAA